GAGAGAGAGAGAGAGAGAGAGAGAGAGAGAGAGAGAGAGAGAGAGGAAGAGGGATATATCTGTACGCGCATACGCGTATAAATGTGGTTGGCGTGGGAGCGGAGGACGACGGGGAAACGTGGCCGTGAACGAGGAGCAAAGCGATCTCGCCGGCGCGAGCGAATACTCGGGGAGACACGCGTAGCGGAAGATGCCGCGAAGGATGGTGGATCGGGATCGGGATCGGTATCTATCCAAGGACGGATGGCACGCGAGTGACACGCGGTGCGGAGAGCTAGCGAACCGGAAAGACACGGCGCACGAACACGGCGCGGCGAGAATAAGAGGAGAAGGGAAGCGGCGAGGATGGCGAGCTATTTCTCAGCTTCACCCGCAGAGGTTTTCTTCGCGAGAATATATCGACGCGTCACGAGCAAACTGGCCCGTTTACGATATCCACGCGTATATACGTATATCGAGCGTTCCTCGCGTCTCGATTCGCGCGAGCTCCGATTCCGTTTTCTCCGCTACCGTTCCCGTTTCGTCCTTTCCTCTCGATCCGTCGCGCGTCCGACTCGCCAAGCGATCGCGTCGCGTTGCACCGCGTTCCCGCCTGTTCCCGCTTGTTCCCGCCTGTTTCCGCCTGTTCCCGCTTCATCCCGCGTGCTCCTTCCGCCCGTTTCCGCCCGTTCCCGCCTGTTCCCGGCTTGTTGTTTCGGTGGTCCAGGGTGGATGGAAGAATTACCGGTGCAGCCTCGGAGCGAGCAGAGGTTGCGTGGTAGAGGTTGCAAGCCACCACCTCTCTTCCTCGTTCTCCGCCGGTCCGCGCCGTTCTTCCAGTTCTCCGACGAGACGTTCAGTCGGCTACCGACAGCCGTCCGTGCTTCGCGTTCCTTCGTGTCGCGCACGCCTCGCGTTCTTCTCGTCCGCCAAATTTTACCCTTTCTCTCTCTCTCTCTTTCCCTCTCTTTTTCTCTCATCGTCGTTTCACCGCGTGATCGCGTATCGCATCTTCCTTCGCGTACGTTGGCGATCGTCGAAGAGAGTATCCCGACGCGGTTGTCATTCGCGATTCGCGGCTCGGATGCGCGATGAAACGCGAGACCGTGGTCGCCGTGGCCGCCGCCGCCGCCGTCGTCGTCGTCGTGCTCGCAGTAGCGCGCCGATCGCCACGATCTCGCTAGATCTGTCGGCGATTGACGGTGAAACCTTTCGATCGAGAAATCTCCTACCGGTCCGTGCTCCGCGTCCCATTGGATTTGCTTTCGGAGTTGCCTCGGACTGGACATATCGGAAGACCGATCGGAGGACCGATCGAAGAGCCGGAGGTAGGCATACTACCCTTTTCTCTCTCTCTCTTTCTCTCTCTCTCTCTCTACCTTTTCATCCGACTCGATTCCGCGCGATGCGTTCGACGTTGGTCCAAGAGGGTGAAATGTATCGAAATATCTAGCGACATCGCGATCGAGAGACAGAGAAAAGGAGCAGGGACTCGGGGCGAAGAGGAAAAAGACGATGTCCGGAAGGCGGTAAGAATGGTCGCGTGCGCGCACGTGTGCGTGTGTGCCTCTCGAGAAAAGGAAGAAGGAAATAGAGAAAGTTCGAAAGGCGACCAGTGGCTAGTCGAAGGCGGTTCTACTCGCGCAGCGGCCGGATGCGTAGATCAGGACCAATGCGTAAGAAGCACCGACAGGTGCATCGTTTCGCACGACGTTCGCCGATAATCGGTAGCGCTCGTTAAATGGAAACGCGCGGTAACTCTCGCCGATCGTAACCATCGAAACGTCGCGTTGAACTATCGCGAAGATCGCTACCGATCGGTCCTTTAGACCCGTCACGAACGCGAGCGGACGACACGATCGATCGATCGATCTCGTCGAGATGGTGGTGGTAGTGGTGGTGATGGTGGTGATGGTGGTGGTGGTGGTGGCGGCGGCGATGGTGAAGGTGGTGGTGGTGGCGAACACGGAAGCGTGTACGGTGGCGTGTGCGTGCATACGTTGCGACGCGAGACACGCGCTACCGTTGGCTCGCTATACTCTCATCTCAAGTATTATATCGATTAACTGTTGGCAACAGAAGCGAGGCAAAGGAAAGCTCGTCGGAGGGTGGCATGGCTTTGGCTTTCCTATATTATTAATCTTGCGCGCACTCTCTCGATCTCTCCTCCCGCTTTTCTCCGTTTCTCCTCACCTTTCCTTCTCCCCTCGCTCCAACCTAACCGTACGTTCTCTTTGCGCCCGCTTGATAAACCTGCCATACGTGACAGGCAACGAGTCGGTCAGGTGTCGCGGGCAGCTTCCGCGTTTCCAAAGAGAATCGACGCTCCCGAGTATATAGATATATCGCGTTATCGTTGGTATCGGTGGAGATTCGGAGAGTCGAGATCGAGGAGGCGGAAAATCGGCCAGGATCGGCCATAACCCGAGTACCGGATAGGTGGGCAAACGCGACGAGCGAAACGTCAAATGCCGAGCGAAACGCGAAGCGTGTCTGCTCGTGACATGTTCGTAACTCGCGCGATAACCGGGTGGAAGCAACGCGACCGGTTGTTCCCGTCGCGATTGCTCGGATGGCGAAAACGGTCGTGGCGAGCTGCTGCTGGGAAAAGTGGGACGAAGAGTGGAAGAAGAGGGCCAAGAGGATAAACGGACGAGGCGATCGGAAAGGGGGTGGACGCGAGCTCGGGAGCGGGCGTCGCGATCGGCGGCGAGGAAGAAGACGCACGGTGGCTGTGCGTGACATTTTCGTAACGAAAGCGAGCGAAACGCGCGTATGCTCGGGGTACGGTAGACATCTGGTCCGGTTGCCCGGTTGGCTCCACTCGACACTGCCTCTCGGCTGCTGCCCGTTCTAATATTGGAAATTGCGTCTCCACCCGCGCGCGCTCGCGCGCGCATCACCGATCTCCACTCCGACCAGCCACCGTACCATGTGCAGGACATATGTATAAACATAAGCCCGGTCTGCCGCGACGGTGAAGTCGTCTCCTTCGAAACGTGCTCGCGATCGATCCGTACGCGTATTATACTCTCCGAGCTTTTCGTCCTCTCTCTCTTTCCTCGAAAGGGAAGAAGAACGGGACACGAGTCCGAGAACGAAGCGGTTCGAGGTTCGATCGAGGGAAAAAAGCGTATACGTAGGTATCCCCGTGCGCGCAACGCAGCTGCGCGCAATTACGCCACGGCGTAGTAGAGCCGCGGATTTCCTGCCACGGCACGTATATCGTTTCCCGGCGACTCCGCGCTCTCTTGTTTGCTTAACTAAGCGTCTTAACGAATTGCCGCGGACGCGCGTCTACTACCCCCGTGCTGGCCCGAGTCGACTCGTTTCGCGCACTTTCCCCTGCTCTCTCCTCTCACTCTCTCTCTCTCTCTGCTCCGCTTTGCTCTGCCTCTCGATCGATGCTGCTCGATGGCCGTCGAAAACTCGACGCGAGGATATCGGGACACTCGCGACAACCGGGTCGCGTAAATTGCCGACATCTGTAACAACGGAATAGAGAGGAGGAGATGGACCGCGATGGCGATTAAAATGATCGAAGCCATCTGTCGCGATAGAGGTCGAGACCCGTCGCGCGACCGCGTCTCGAGATCCATCGACGATCGATCGACCACGCGATTCTTTCCTCGACGCGCCTCGACCCGGCCGTCGGCGTTCACGGCAATCCACGGCAATCCACGGCAATCCATGGCTATCGACGGCAATCGACGCAAGGTGGCCGAACTTAAATAAATCGTAAAGCTGTACGCGCCACTCGCCAAACGTCCCCGTCGCCCCGCGTCGCTCGTTACGGTCAACGCGAAAATTAATCCGGATAATTACTTTGCCGCGACGCTTAAAAAGTTTGTCGAGAGACGTTAAAGCGCGAAGCTCCAATCGTCGCCGTCGCGTTAATTTCGATGAAATTCTACGCCGTAAAAGCTGCTCCGTTCCTAATTCGCGCTATTCGCCCGACGACGATCGCGATCGAGATCTGGATTAGCAGGAATAAACGACGAGTATTTCCCAGCTAAGAACGTCGCCCGTTTCTCGGTCCAAACGAACGACTCGTTTGCATTTCGCGTTAATAACGAGACCCCGCGCCACCCCGAAGGCACCCCTTGCCAGACCCGTGCGCCGATCGAATAAATATCTCTCTCTTTCTCTCTTTTCCATTCCGATTCGTCCTACCTTTCTCGCGAAATCTCGTCCGTGACGCCTACGCGAGTCGTCGCGCCACGGCTCGCGGATATTCCCTCTGGAACTCGAAAGAGACGACGATCCGGACGAGTGTCCGCGAGAACGAACGAGCGTTCGGGGAACGACGAAAGGGTTTTCGCATTAATCGTCACGCGAGGCCGTTTAATTATTTGGATATTCAGGACGAATCGGTGAATCGAGATGGATCCTGCTCGGTTTCGTAAAACTGCCGCCCGGTCCGGTTCCATTAAAATCAGTCATCGGTATGCGCGGCCGGCTGCTGGTCGCCGAGCACGTACGCGAAATATGCGACCGCGCCGGGGCAATCGCAAAATGGAATCGATCAAATACGAATCGTGGTCGGGCGCGATCACACCCGTCTATATCTTTTGCTCCGCTTCGCCCTCCGATTCCAGCCGCTTTGCCGAGCGCGACCATCAACGCGCGCGCGCGCGCGCCTAGATAGAACGCTTCACCTTTCCGCTTTCGATAAGAATAAACGAGCGCGTGCGAAGGGAGAGTGTGGCGTATCAATGGATCGCATGTTGAACAGGCAAGGACTACGAGAGCATGAAGGTGGAGGGTGTAATGGCGAACAACGCTCTGCTGCATAAGGCGAAGGTGAAGGAAGAGGCGAAGGAATACCGCGCTTACCAGCTATCGTCGGGAGCATCGTCGGCTGCCTCGAACATCACCGTTGCTACCGTTACTACCGCCACGACGATAACCGTCACTGCGACGACGTCCACGTCGCCGGCAACTGCAGCGGCCATCATCGCGACAACGACCACGACCACGACCACGACGACCACCGCGACGGCGACCACGACGAGCACGCCGACCACCTCGACGACCACCGCGACCACGATCTCGACGTCTACACCCGCGACGACGCCGCCGACGACCACGATGACGACCACGACGACGACGACGACGACGACGACGACGACGACGTCGACACCGACGCCGACGGGAATGGCAGCGAGCATCGCAGCGTCAACCGGACCTAGCACGATCGTCGGAGATAGTAACGGCGCGACGTCCACGACCACCGCAACTCTGCACCATCAACCCTCCGGCGTCGTTTGTCGACTATCGATGCCAGCGTCTTCCGCCCACGTCAACGCTGATTCCTTTCCCGTCGATCTCGACCTCAAGACCAAGGTCAAGGGTGCGTTTCTTTTTCTTTTCCTCTCTCGTTTCGCGCGATATCCTCGCGACTCGTTGGCGAGAAAAGGTGCTGCTCGGGTGTTACGCGCGATCACGGGCGAAAGCGTGTTTCGAGCGTTGGCGCGAGAACGTTGGGGTTAGCTGTGGGCGCGTGGAACGTTAGTTCGGGATATCGTATAGGGGTACCCGTATATCTAGTCCGCGACTGTGCTTTCGTCCGAATCGTACGTTCGGGCTGAACGGGTTATCTGGCAGACGGGCTCGAGCCCGCAGCTACTTTGGAAATAGGGCTGGCGAAAAAAGGTCGCGCGTCGCTTCTCTCTCGTCAAAGGCCCAGCCGTCGTCGTTCGTCCGTACGGGATTCCCTTTCGCCTCGTCTCTGCCGTTCGTCGTCCGATCGAAATCGTGGAAATCGTGGAAATCGTGGAAATCGCGAAAATCGATAGAGCGCCGGCGGCACGGAAACGAAAAGCGTAGACACGGGAGGAAGGAGAAGGCGGGAAGCGAGAAAAAGGGTAGATCGGGAGCAAGTGTGCGGCGGGGAGCACGTGCACGGGAAGTAGCGGAGATGTATGTGCGATCGCGGAACGGTCGACGGGGGTTGGCGAAACTCCTGCGAGCAGTCAGTCAAGCCGAGTGGTTGGTTGGTTGGCCTCGGTGTGCGTCGGTTAGGTCGGTTCGTGCACCGGCTGACTGCCTGGACCAGACGCGATAAGGCACGTCCGACACTTCCAGCGGGATTCTGCTCCAGGCTGATATCATATCCGGTATACCGTTGGCATCCCCGACGTTGCCGTTCGAGGTATTTCGCGATAGTCGCCCGTACCACGCCTCGCGTTCGTTCGCTCGCTCCTTCCGTCCTTCCTCCCTACCTTCGTTTCCGCCTTCCTTTGCTTCCTCGCACCCTTCTCTCCTTTCGGATATGCTTACGACGTAGAACGAGAACGAGCCGCATCTATCTTTCTTTTCGACCGACACCACCATCGCCATCCTCGACGTCGCCGCCGCCACCATCGCCGCTTCTTCCATTTACTCGCGCTCGAGTTTTAAACCCCACGACCTCTCCCCCGCTTCGTCAACCACGCGATTCGCTCTTCTCGAGGTAAACTTTACAGGCATTCGCGACTCTCTCCCTCTCCCTTTCTCTATCGAACGTCGAGGGCTCCGATTTTCAAGAATATTCGGTAGACGATGCGCGGCTGACGTCGCGGAAAGGAAGCTCGAGAAACGAAAAGGAACGTGGGATAAGGTGCCGAAAGGGATGAACGAGAGCCAAGAGAAAGGAAAGAAGAGAGAGAGAGCGAGAGAGAAAGGGAGGCAGGAGAGGCGAATAGGGGAGCATGGGGTGCGGCTAGGAAGGGATTGCGATCAAAGCCATCTGTTGCATTGTCCCGGCAATTAGGAGGCGACAGCTGAGTCCCAGCGTACTTACTTCCACCCAGGGACTCTCAGCCGAGTGGAGCACGTGCGCTTTATCGATCTCTCTTGGTGGTGCTCGTGGAACGGTCGTCTACGAAGACAACGAACCGCTTGCACGCTGCTCCTCGCGTGTGTTCCAGGTGCTGTCGAGGCCGCTGTCGCCGCCGTCGCCGCCGTCGCCGTCGTCGTCGCGAGGTACGCGTTTCCCGGAACGGCCTCTGTCGTCCGACTAACCGATAACTCCCCTGTCTCTTCCATTCTCGCTCTCTCCACCGACTTTTTTTTTTTCTTTTCCAACGCGCTGTCTCCTCTGCTCCGCCGTCTACTAGTCCAGAGAAAAGGACGGAAGCAGGAAGAATTTTCGATCGGGTGGTTTTGGGCGGGGCGATATCGCGAGCCGGATTTGCGATCGATTCCGTCGTGGCGCGACGACCGTAAGGTGCGTCGCGGCAGTTTACCGCGAGAGTTCGGATACAGGTAATTAGCTCTCGGCTCGGCGACGTCAGGTGGCGGTGACACGGTACTTGCCGCGTTTGCCAACCGCTCGGCCCAACGGCAGCGATTCGAAAGAAACGGTTGGTCGGCTGGATAGGAAATCGGCATGCGTCGGTAAACGAGACGAAAGTGGTTGGGCGAAACGCGGGACGCTGGTCGTATAACTTTTCGTTATTGGCATACGTGTACCATGGCGGCGTTTTGGCCACGCATGCCACGAGGCCGGAGGCATTCCGCGAGATAACGCGCGGAACACGGAATGGGAACAAGGCAAGGTGGATGACACGGCCCGTAATTGCATGTTATCCGCTGCACCCACGCACAGAGCACACGGTTGACGCGCATCTGTGCCTCGCGCACCGCTGCGACCGTGTGCACGCGAGCGCGGGCGTGCGCGCGCGCGCGCGCGCGTGTGTGTGTGCGCGCCTATCAACGCGTTTGTAAACGAGTGGCCGATTCGCCTGCCCGTTTCACGTGGTTCGTGGTTGACGGCTCCCCGGATGTGCCGGGCACAAAGGACGTTTGCGGCGACCCCCCGTCCCTTTCCCGCTAGCTTAAACGCTCTTTCGACTTTACCGAAACGAATCGTACTTTTCCCTTTGATCGCGTGCCCTCTCCTCTTCCGCGTAAACCCACCACCCATCCCTGGCCCCGATACTTTTCGCTTCGCGGAACCCTTCTTCGCTCGCGATCCAACGCGAATCTTCGTTGTTTCAGCTGTAAGCTCCGCGACCAGAGACAAATCCTCGCGAGAAGATGCTCAACCGGAGGTCCATTCGCCGTCCTCTCATCGGCAAAGAATCTTCACCGCGGCACCGTCGACCACCGTCGTCATCGGGCAACACCAATCGAACAAACAGGGCAACAACGGGAACCGAGCCGAGTACAAAGCGACGACCGGTTGCTCGGCCTCCTCCGACAGCGGTAGCCCTTTGCCGTCGCATTACCTCAAGCCCGAATCGGAGGACGCGTCCGGATCCGGAGGCACCGGTGCCGGTGGCGGTGCTGGCACTGGCACTGGCACTGGCAGTGTGGCTAGTGGCACCGGTGGAAGTGGTAACGGGAATCCCGGAACCGCGGCCAACTGCAGAACGGAAGAGCAAAACGATGTATCTGCACCGTCGAACAGCACCACCACCACCACCACCTCCTCCGCCACCGCCACCGCCACCGCCGCCGCCACCACCACCACCACCACCACCACCACCGCCGCCGTCGTCACCACCACCGGCAACAGATGCATCGCCGGCGTTTTCGCCGGTCACGGTGAGCTCAAGAGCGTGCTCGGTACTGTCGTGAAATTTGCCACGGGCATCTCTCCTGACACCGGCGACACCGTGCTTACCCTGGTGTTGGCGCTTCTGGTAAATCCACGACACATCTTCTTTTCCTCGCTTCTTTGTCCTCCTATCGCTTCGGCTGCCGCCATCTTCGCGATCCAACCACCGCGTTTTCCATCGGACCACGGCTACTGTTCGCGCGTTACACGGATATTTTCTCTTCTTTTCTTTTTCTTTCTTCTCTTTCTTCTTTCCTCTTCTTTCCGCCTCTCCTCTTGAGCGAAACTGCCGTTTTAACTAGGAAACGCAAAGACGAGACGAATCCCGGGGGGGGGGGCGGCGGGGGGAAACGATAGGAAATATTCAAAGTACGTACGCGGCGTATAACGTCATCGCGTGTACCGAGCTCGCGTGCGTTGCAGAAACGTGACATCTGGTATCCGTGCTTGACCGTAAACGATCGTGGCACGTGACAGACGTTGAAATCACCCTGCCGTTCCTCGCTGTCTTTCCGGCCAGCCTCGAAATTTCCGCCACCAGCCTACGATAACCCTTTAATCTCGAAATTTCGCGAATATCCCGTCAACGTTTCGCTGGTCAATCGAGATTCGTCCTTTGCAGAGCGGCAGCATGACCGCGGAGGAGTTTCACACGGCCTTGCAGGAAGCGACCAACTATTCCCTCAAGGGCTTCGTGTTGCCCCACCTGAAGCAGCAGTTACCCTCGTTGCAGAGGGATTTGAGCAATGCCGCCAGATCGAGTAACCAGGTGGGTATTCGATTCGGTGTTTGGAATTGGCGGTGCTCGAAGATGGTCGCTCGACGAAGAAAATCGCGAGGAGAGTAGATTACGCGCCAACGTTCATCCGTTGCCTGTGCACCGATATAGATTAGAGTTATATCACACACGCGCTCGTTAAACTTTGTACAACGAAGACCGTGGAGAGGAAACGCGTTCGGGAGTAGCGAGTAAAATCAACAGAACCCGGGCTGACCGGCTGTCGACCTGTTTTAATTTCCCAGGCTACTTCGCGACTCGTGGGCGGGGGCATGCCAGCCTGTTTCACGGAAAGATAGATGATGGAACGAATCGAACGAAGAGAGCCGCGTGACTCTTGCTTTCTCCCATTTCGCTTCATCGCCTTCCGCCTACTCTCTTCGTACTTTTACCTTTCTTCGCTTCCACGTCGAAATTCGCGGACGATCCGCGAAGAAAGCGGCGTCGCGACGATAAAGGAAGCAAAGTGTCGCGAGTAGGATTAGGAACGCAAAGGGGATTCGATATTCTCGGGAGGAAGTATAAAGTTCGATTCGAAGAATTAATAGAAGACTCTTTGGGTCGTGCTACTGCTTCCAGCTGCTGCCTGTCTCGCGAGACGGTGAAAAGAAAAAGAAGAGGACGCGAGGCGAGGAGGAATAGGGGGTAGGTGGGTGGAAGGCGAAAGGATGGAAAATATGGGGAAGAGGGGAGAGGAACGAATCGCGGCGCGGTAACGAATTGCAAATTAATAGGAAGGATTTACATTTCTCGAGGTAGCTAGAGCGGTAAAGGATGGAAAGATGGGGGTGGTGGTGGTGGTGGTGGTGGCGGCGGCGGCGAGGGCGAAATTCCTTGGCACAGGCGCCACCCTTTCGCTCGGTTCCTCTGCCCGTGTCGGGCGAAAGCGTAGATTCGCTCGGCGAGCGAGTAGTAGGCTACGCTGCTTCGCGCACCGATCGAACCTACGCGTACACGCGATTACGCGCTTAACTTGCCCAATCGATGATCGCTAATTGGAAGTCGCGAGAGCGAGAAAGTAACCGACGCGAAACAAACCGAGGACTATTCCGTATTACGGAATGGTATTACGAGCGACGAATGGCAGCTCGCCGAGCGAGAACCGTCACCTGGGTACTTGGATTTCGAGAGTCGCGACGGGCGGTAAACACGGGAAAGTATCGAAGGATCAGAACCCGATCGAATCGACCATCTCGATCGCGAGTCCACGGCCGTCGAATAACAATCGGAAAATCATCATGTCTTTCTTTTTTTCTTCCCCGACAGAGTTGCGCACAATTCTTGCGATCGAACGAAGCAGCGGTGCTGGAGGCCGTCGGCCTGATGGCCGCGGCGGAGCAGGTCGAGATCTTCGGGGAGCACGCCGGTAACGGAATAGGAAGCGGGAACGGTGGCAATCAGTGCTCCTCCGCTCATTACGGTATACGATCGAATTCTAATCCCGGTGTTGGCGGCGCCATTCAGCACACCAACAACGCCACGGCCGGTTTCCACCATTATTCCAGCGGCACGTCGTCGCACGCACCGAAACGACGCGCCTCCGACACGCCGTGAGTCGATTACGCGTGCTTTCCACGAATTCGTGGAAACGCCATTCTTTCCCGCATTTCTCGATGCGAGAGGAAAACCCGCGACGAGAACGATCGCGGACGTGTATCGGAAAGGCGTAAATCGCGAGGGCGGGCAACGCGACACGACCGCGCGCCTGATCTTTGTCCGTCTATAACGATAATTCAAGCGTAGAAAACGCCACGCACCTGCGCGTACACGCGTGCGTAGTATATTTGCCAAGCCGCAAATGTGCCGGCGTACCGGAAGAATTTTTGGCCACGAGCCTGCGTTTCTCGCGGGCATATTTACCCGAGCCGACGGAAACGGGATGACCCGCTCGCAGCTTCGCCGATCGAGCGATTAATTCGATCCGTATGCGCGGAGGAGGTCGGTATTTCCGCTGAAAATGGGATACGCTCGGATCGGGTTGAGAAAGGGGCGCCGACGCGAATCCGAAGGCGACAAAACGCGACGCGCGCGTTGGCAATGCCAGCCTGGCCTCCTCTCGATATGTCTGCCGGTGACGTTTCCATATATCATCGGGGTACCACCTTTCTCCAACACCCTGACCGTCCTACTCGCGCCAAGACCCTTCCGCTATTCTCTCTCTACCCTTCGACTACCGACAAACTTGCCTCGAGTACCTATCGGCGTCCTGCTAATGCAGGTCCACCTTCTCGTCGTCGCGCTCCGTCCTGTCTAATAACGCGCAATCGCTACGTCACGCGTCCGATCTTTCCCCCTTTCGTTCCAGCCTCGCTCTATTTTTACTCTGCTCCGTCGAAATATCGCAGGTATTACGAGAACAGTGCCACGCTTCTCGAGGACGTTCCCGTCTACGGGAAGAGACTGACCAATCCGTGGAGTCATCACCATCCGCCGCAACCGCAATCGCAACAACAGCAATCCGCCGAGGCTTCCTCCCCTTATTGTTGGTATCATCCGCTCCATTCGTCGAGCGGATCGATTCAAAGTCTCGGACATCGGCATGCTCACGCTCATAGTCACGCTCACGGCCACGCTCACGGTCATGGTCACGGTCATGGTCACGGAGACGGTTCCAGTTCCATACCGCCTAGTTCCGTGCAAATGAATCAGATGAACGCCTTCTCCGGCTCTCATCACTTGGCCCGACAGCAGCAACAGCAAATGAGTCACGTTCAAACGCAGAACGGCAGCCTGGACGACGAATGGAAGAACATTCACATGATGCTAAACTGTATCCTCGGTATGGTGGAGAAGACGAAGAAAGCTTTGACCATCCTGCAGACACGGGGTTGCTTCGGGGCAGCAACGTCTGCGCCACCCTTGGCCACCGGCAATGCCATACCAGCCCAGAACGGCGGCAGCACCGCCAATGCCAACAATCCATCCTCGACCAACAACGGTTCTCAAGTGGAATCGTCGACGGGCGATCGCGAAGGTAGCTTGAAACGATTGTCCGGGGAGATCGTTGCTCAGACTATCAGGGCGATCGAGGATAAAATGGCCGAAGTGAAGAGGAAAGACGGTTGGTCCCTTTCTTGCTTATTATTTTTTTTTTTTCATTTCTCTTTCTCGAAATTTATCCACGTTTTTTCCGCGTTCGTTACAGAGGAAGCCGTGAAGAGAGCCGTGATGGCGGAAGTGCAACGCGCGATGCGAGTGGCTGTGGCCGAGTCCAGGGCGAACGAGCGTTTACGAGTACATCGAATGCTCGACGTCCCCTTGACTCAGAGAAATCACGGTGCTCTACGACAAGGACCGTACCTTCGAGTTCACGGTAACCATGGACCAGTGGACGGGAATGCTAGAACCGTCGCGACCCCGACCAACACCGTTTCCAACTCGATCGCGTCCACCAGCGAGGACGAGAAGGACTCTCAATTGCAAACCGTCTCGGGTTCCGTGAGTACAGTTCACACCATCGTGTTCTCGCTGTTTTCTTCCGTTCTTTGCATCGTCGCAATCCGTTTGCAGAGTTGTTGGAACTGCGGCAGACCGGCCCTGGAGACTTGCGGTGGCTGTGGAATCGCTCGGTATTGCGGTTCCTTTTGTCAGCACCGAGACTGGGAGGCCGGCGGTCATCATGCCACGTGCAACAATCCTCCACCGCGCGAACCTCGAAGATCCGCGTCGCGTAGCCCTCCGAGAGTGGTTACCGGAGCGTTGTCCAGCGTCAACGAGGCAAACATCGTCGCGCCGATACCGGCCAGCGCGGCGACCAAAGGAAAGTGACATTACGACGGCAGCTATTCTCGTGTCCGACGATTATTCGCTAGACCGGTCCGATACGATTCGCGTTGACGCTCCTCGTCCACGGTACACCTCCTCTCTTTCTCTCTCTCTCTCTCTCTCTCTCTCTCTCTCTCTCGAATCATACATCTTCTGCACCTTCTCGACTGTCTTCGCGGTCCTATGCTTTCCGACCACGCTCGCGGCACGCCGTGTGCAACCTGGTTGTGTTTCTCTTTCGAAAGCTCGTGCTCTAGCGCATCGATGGTGTACATATTCCCGAGGCTCATTCGTCCGTGCACACCGACGGTGACATTGTCCGACTATAGAGATTCCTTGAATATTTGAATATCTACGAATGTAAAGTTACGGGAACAGTACGCGTAAGACGAATTATCGTCCTCTCCGACCGTAGTTGTAACCGTTCGTCGAATTTCTTCCTTAGGATAGTACGTGTAACGGTTCGTTGTATTGCTATTTGATCGAAGCGACAAAGTAGAGATATAAATCATATAACGTGTATATTTTTCGGATCGTAGATGTGGTTCGAATAAGAAACGATCGCTGCTTACCATTACGATTATCGAATGTAAAAATAACGCTGATTCTTTTGCTGTATGCTCGATACGCTCGTACGACGAAGCTGCGAGGAGGAATCAAAGGACAGACCAAGTAATGCCGCCCAAGCAAACGATCCGATAAACGTGCTTTTTATCGTACAAAGTTGTCCATGATAACGAATACGATTACAGAAATATTAATACATGTTATACGCTCTCTAGCTCTCTACGAACAAGTAACGCGAAGAAACCTTTATCCGCGTTGTAACGTGCAGGTTATCGCGTTAATCGAGGTATTTCACTTTTTATCCAGATATAGGTTTATCATCCCGCAAAAACGTCGTTTACTCGCGTGTTATAAAGAGAAACTCGCTACGAGACGCGAGAGACGTTTCGTGTACGATGTAACGCGTTCCAGTTTTTCTCTTCTCCGTTGAAATTGAAATTCGCGTATTATAACTGTTACCGTGTAAACAAGCATGCTGTATCGATCTTTTTCCTAGTCAATTCGTAGATTAATACGACCGCAACGAAGAACGCGACGGTAAGCGGTCACGACGTTTTATTTTATACGCGTCACGTTGTATGCACGCTGGTATACGTTTACGAGTCTAGTCATTCTCATCGAGAAATAAAACGAGTTTATCGGTCGTGCGCGTTAGGAGACTTTGCTCAAATCTAGACTACGAATCGTTGTATGTTTTTCTAGCTATATTACGTTGCAGGGATGTATGATGGATTCTATAGATTGTATTTATGAATTAACGAAATACATGATTATTCTGTGTCATAATGCTTAAAGAACGACCGTTCGCATCGATCTCTTTTCTATACGCTTTAAGACGCACGCATGCGTGTATCTTATGTACGCAACGTGTCATACAAAACTCATCGTTTTCCCTTCGTCGTCTGGTCCCCTATTATGTTCGCGAAAAGAGCTCTCGTTTTGTCTTCTTTTCCCAACGCTTCCGTCCAATCCTGCTTATTTCTCGCAAACAGCGGAACGTTCAACTTGTTCCACATGATCTGTCCAGATTTCGTCGAACGCAAAGACTCGCCGACTTCTGTCAATTCCTCCATGATCAAAGTTTTCTGTTTCACATGCGCCCACTGCCATACTCTGTCCAAGCTTCTAGAACCGTGTGTACTGCGGGCCAATCGCGCCCAGTATCCCTTCAACTTCTTCGTCAGCTTTTCCCTGCTTTTCTCCCCGATGTATTTGCTGTCCATAAAAGCGTCCAAGATGCGACTGCCTCTCGGATCTTCCAACAGCTGCACTAGTTCTTCTCCATCTGTCTCTAACAAGGAATTAACCATCTTTATAGGTTTATTGAACTTGAGAATAGCCTGTACTATAAGACTTCCGTGTAGACTGATCAAAGGTTTCGAATCGCTTTCCTCATTTTTCTCCAAACTCTCCAGCTGCTCGGGTGTTCTTAGGCCGGCTATGCACGCCATCGTACGATTTTGTTTCTCGTTTCCCTCGCAGTGCAGACTTTTCAAAAGTTCCACCACGAACGCACCCTGTTTCGTTTGCAATCTCAAGCACGCGTTGGCTACGCTGGCCAAGACACCGGTGTAACCCTTATCCAGAATTTCAGGTAGAAACGTGCAAATTTCTTCGTACATCTCTTCAAACTCTTCTTTAACGTTACAATGATCCAATAGCCGCTGTACGCTAAAGTTTGCGCTCTGCATCAAGGATAATCGTTTCAAATTACCCGAAAAGTATTCTTGGTAAATTTTATACAAAGATTTTCGATCCGCTGCCGACAAGCATACTTCCAGCAACCTGATCGAACTTTCCGCGTCAAAGATATTCGACAATTGCTGCTCCGTCCCAGGTTTAAAACACTCGTTCGTAATTCTTTTAACGTACGCCTGCACCATCTCTGGAAACGTATCTTGCAGAGAGTGCAAAGCGCTTTGCAATAATCCAGATGTAAGCTCGTCCTGGCCAAACTCTAAAAATTGAGGCCATTTGTATAATCTGTTGCACGTTTGGGACAACAAGTCTTTGTACTCTTGTACCACTGGTCGTCGTTCACCGAATACCAGCTTCTTCCTATCTCTATTGTCAGGCTTATCGATCAGACCACCGAGACATTCGATGACTGTTCTCAAAAGATGATTCGCATACGTATCGAATATAAATTCCTCGATGTTGTTGATAAAATATTTACTCATGTTCAACACGATGTTATTGTAAGATTCTATTTCCGACTCCTTAACCTCTATACGAGCATCCGTATCTTCCTCTGTGCATGACTCGGAACGTTTGCTTCTATTTCCTCTGTCGGCGCAAATCACTAAGATCTTTTGTAAAACGTGGCTGGCAAATTTGTCGTTACTAAGTGGTCGCAAAGAAGATTTAAAAGCAGCGACTAACCTCTCGATGGTTTCCAAATTCGCGTATTTTAAAAGCGAATCCAATATCCTGGATCCAACTTGATTCCTCGCGTATTCGAGTTCGTGGCCAGCAGTTTGGGCGTACACGTTATTCGCAAATATCAATTTCTCCTCGGCTGTGGGAAAATCGCTTTTCATTAACTCCAATATACGTACCATGTACTGATACGTCTCGGCGTCTACCTCGGATCCGTGATTTCTTTGGCGCGCGAATTTCTTTGCCATCTGAATTTGCGATCGCTTCTTCTTTCTCTTTTTGCCTCTTTCGTCGTTCCCATGATCGTTGGCCATCGTCCGAAATAACGTTCAGACTTCACGCGAAGCAACGTATACATAACCTCTTCGTTTTGACGCGTACACGTGAAGGTGCAACGTAGCCAGCGCCATCGGCGGCTAAAATCTCAACTCGTGGATCGATAACGAAATCGCGCGCGTAAAAGTGGGTAATTGTTGATACCAAGAGGTAAAGAAACGTCGTAAATCGTGTTACGTTTAAAACATAAAAAGAATTTAATTTCGTCGACAACGTTGTCGTGTTGCATTAAAATTACATTGTACTTTTTCGTTCTTCCCTTTATTTTACACACTCGAATTAATCTACATAAATCTTTATATAAGTCGTATCGTGATTCGAAGATTCTTATCGTCTGGCTCATCAGTGCGTTTGTCCGTATTTCAACAAGAAAGAAAACTCTGTAATGGACGTAATAGTGGAGAAATATGGAAGAGACAAGAACTTCCGAATGCGGTTCTTTGGATCTCACTAGCCGTTTCTCGTGCCTTAGGCTCGGATCTTTTTCAAATGTCTCCCAACCAATGATTGCGGATAAATCTCGATTAGCGCAAACGAATATCTATCGTAGTTAATCAAAGGCCCCTTCGACTGCTATCACAAATAGAGAAAAAGAGCGTGTTGAACTAAAAATAGTTCTCATCGAGGACAATAAACTTTTTCCTTACCTAATAGGAAATGTATATATACATATGCGTGTGTGTGTGTGTGTGTGTGTGTGTTTGTTGTTTATTTGTGTGTGTGTGTATATATATATATAAAGAGAAAGAGGATCGTTGTTTTCTTGGATTGACATTGATAGTTTCGTAAGCCAACGAATGGTATGCGTTTTTAAATAACTAATCCTCCATAAAAGTGACGCGTTGCACGGTTTTGCAGCAATCTATGAAGCGATCGACTGCAATTGGAAAAACATTTTCGAATCGTAGAATTTCCGATGTTCTCGCATTGAAATGTAATGTTACAGGTACCTTCGAGCATCAACAAGTTTTTCATAACGATGCGTTAGATTACATTCTAAAAAACTTCGTTCGGACACTTGTACAGGTAGAATCGACCGCATCGGTTATTACCGAATCCCCGATCCGATTTCTACTAATTCCTTAAACAAGATCTTTTATTTGCTATAACGCGTAGAAATTTACGACCAATTAGTCGAGTGAGGCGACTTAGAATACGAATAGTTTGAAGTTGTACGCGTCAAACAGCTCCGTATTCCTCGCTGGATGGTGACTCGTCGCTGGGGGGTGGCCTGGGCGGTCTTGGTGGCCTAGGTGGTCTGTGCAAGTGTACACCAGGCGCCGGTCTTCTGGGAGGTGGTGGAGGATGAGTTCCGTAAGAGGTGTCGTCTCCTTCTTCGCTGCTGGGTGAAGGAGAAGGTGCTCTGTCTTCTTGTTCTTGCAGAAGTTGTCGAAATTCTTGAATAGATTCGTTCAAGGACCAAAGTTGAGCGAGCAAAGAGAGATCCAGTTGCCGAAGTCCAAACTGTAAAGCAACATTCGTTCACGTTTCAGATTTTTCCCTTTTGTTACGAGAGTTATAGGGTTAACGATTGCGAGTTTGTCGTATACGCGAACGTACAGGAAAGACGTTTCAACTGATAAACAGATAACGCGTATATAGCGATACCGCGGTTTATACTGCGTATATATGGAAGAACATAATGGCCTGACGCAACGCGATGAAACTATCGAAACATTTCGCGAGGTACGTTCGAAAGCAATGGGGATTGTTTGTCAGCCGACAAACGAACGTCGCATTCACTTTTAGCATGCGGTTGCCAAGGTAAGCGCTAGAGTTTGAAACTTACGGACTGAAACGGTGTATTTCCAAGAGAGTAGCAACTCGCTAGCCGTGGGAACGAAGGAAGAGGGAGTTAGATAGGAGGCGCAAAATGAGAATGAGAATGGGAATGGGAATGGGAATGAGAGGTGTCGGCGTACCAAGAAGGAAGGTAGAGAAAAAGAGGGAAAACGAGTAGAGGTAGGAAGGAACGAAGGTGAAAGAGAGCGGCCAGAAAAAGGAGGGCGAAGAGGGGAGTCACGCCTGAGGGAATGCAGCGTGGGAGCGGCTGTGCCAGTTCGCTTCGTGTCTGGATTGACTATTAAACTATTAGCCTAACTTTCCAGCCAACTATGTTTTCAGCGGCAACCGATATTTATCGTACGTCATAGCTCGAATATCGGATTGTACGCGATCGCATAAACGACACAGACTATCATCGCGTTGCTCCAATTGTTTGCTGTCAATCGCGTTTATTGAGAAAAAGGAAGGGAAAGAAAAGAGGAAAGAGAGAGAAAGGAAGAAAGGAGAAAAGGAATAAAGTTTATCCGCAGCGCAACGGATGTCACAACGGACGGACGTTGGTTTCTCGAGAGAAGAGCCCACGCCTCGAATACATATTCATTGTTCTTTGCGATGGTATACGCGCACAATCGAGTCCCAAGGTAACGGATCTCGTAGGAAAGAACGAGAATGCCCGGAAAATGTCCGCGCTACAATGGTTTCCATTCGTGTTACAAAGCTCGAGTTCTCGCGGCCAACACGCGATCGATGACGTTCCGATCATTTTGACCTCACATCCGCAAAAACCTTGCATCGTGACTAGCAGATCCGTGGAATTTTCCTACCGACTCGTAAATAAGTGCGTAGAGCCGACAGGAAAGCGAGTGACTAAGACTAAACTGACAGCGTTCGTTGACAATTATCTTTACGTTAGATTCTACCTAACGGCAGAAATGGTTCGACACTAGCGGAACAAGGACACGATGCCAAGAAATTTTTAGCAATCACCATTTCTCTTCTCAGTATAGCCAGTTGCGTATCCAACGTGGTAAGCTGTCTGGCAGGTGGCGATGGCCTGGACGACGATTGGATCGAAGTTTTACCGCCTCTTTGCGTTTTACTGGAAGATCTAGTAGGCGGTGGTGGTGGCTCGCAACCCTCGCCTCGTCCACCGCTTAAATTGAATCCACTGAGACTTCTCGGTAAAGGTGGTAGACCTTGCAGGGAAGACATGGCGATCCTCTCTTGTATGCTGAAAAATACGAAAGTTGCATTCGATGAACGAAAATAGAATGGAATGATCCGGAACACCGTTCCTACATCGTTATTTATTCGCATAGTTTCCCGAATCGTAAATAACCCGTTGCTTTCGAAACGAGCGTTGAAATGTATTAAAAAATCGCGTTTTTCGCGACGTTTTACGCGACCTTTTTCTCGACGATTCGAAACCGCGATTTCAACAACGATCTTCCCTCGTGGCAAAACGATGTTCGTTCGACATGGCGGATAGCGTTGGGCTGTACACGTTTCGACGTCGGTGTTTCGCGTGAACGGCGACGAAGTGGGTTAGCAGGTAAAGGAAATTAGAAACGGGAGGATACTTTGATATTGCGCGGAGAAAAAGGAAACTATAAAGCGCATCCGGCGTGCTGTATATTCTTCCGTCTCGTTGCTCGTTTTGTCACGCGATTAAATCGTTATGGCAAACGGCGTATCGCGTGGTAAAGTAAAAAATTATCCGACATGGAGATAATTTATCGCGTTTCGAGCTTAGAACGAAGCGCATTCCGATCGAGAGACTACCTCGGAACATTAAGGTCGCCGAATTTCTCGTTCGGGTAACGATCGAGTCCGTTGACTCGATTTCCGTCGATAACATCGCCCTCTTCGCCGGACAGTCTGATCTGCGTGGAGGAATAATGCACGCCGGCTTCCAACCAATCCTGCCGATGAATGTTGTCGTGGTCGTTGTCGTTGTTGTCATTTTCGTTGCCTTTATCCTTGCGATGATCGCCGTGGTAGTCGCAGACGTCGCCGCGATTGTCCGGCTCATCGTTGGACGTAGCCTTACGGTCCGACTCGTCGATAACAACTACGGTGGCACGGTCAACGTCCGAAACCGGAGGTTGCTTGCCGCAGGAATTTTCGCTGCACGACCGATTATCCGCGTTGTTCTTCGTCGTATCTCGATACTTGAACAGACTGGATCTCTGAGTAGGCATCGGTCGCATCGGAGCATCGATCTTCTTCGTCGCGGTTCTCTCCGCGCACTGAGTCTTTTTCTCCGTAAAGTTGCAGCACGATCCCGATTTTTCTATCACCGATTCCGAGCTAGCGCGACATTGCGCGTCGTCCACGACGGATACCTTGGACTCGACGATCGTCGAAAGTTTCGCGGTGTCGTCGTCGTCGTCGCCGGTGCCTTGGTCTTCGTGATCGACGTCGACGTCGCCGTGGCGATCCAACGGCTCCCTGGTGGAAGAAATCGGTGATTCGGATCTCGCGTTCTCGGTGACCGGTAATCTCTCACCGGTGGTTAGACCGTTGATGACGGAGGACGAACGATCGTCTTGTTGACGCGATATGGAAGAAGGTGAGACGTCACCGATGACGGCGTTCGGTTCACTGGAATTTCCCCGATGTTCCTGATCGGTCGCGGTGGTTCGGTGCCGTCTTTCCCGCGGATTTCCACGCCGGTCGTCCTCGTCCACGCGCCTTTCACTCGCGGCCCGAGGAACGGGTTCGCCGCCGCCGCCGCCGCGACTCTTGGCGACGAGACGAGTCGGGTGATCGTCATGATCGCTGCTCTCGTTGCAGGTTTCCTTCGGTAGCGACTCTTTGATCGACTCGTAGATGACCGTTCGTCCAGCGGCCGGACACACCTGTTGCCGATTGTTGGATCGTTCTCGATCGGATCGCCACGGTTTCGTGTTGGGCGGCGGCGGGGCCTGTCTAGTCGGACACGGTGGCCTTGGAGATCTTTTAAGGGCCTCTGCGACCACCTGCCGACTCGGCCGTGGTGGCACCGGTGGTGGGTGAGGTCTCTGCGTCGCTGCCAATTGCATTTTATTCGCCTTGTCTATCACCGAACCCACACTCTACACCGCTAACGTCCGTCCCACGTTAAACATGCTTCGATTTTACCCAAACGCACTGCCTTTTCCGCCAATCCAGGTCATTCGCGATTATCTTTCTTTCCGTACTTGTCGCATCTCTATCTATCGCGATAAACGCGATTCGCGATTTCACCTACGAAACACTGCTCGCTTCGACGGATCGCGATTAACCGACGTCGTGGTCAACCTCGTCACCCAAGTTAAGTCATCGCTGGAAATTAAGCGACCAAACTGCCAGTCGAATGTCCTTCGTCGAGCCTTTACGAATCCATCGATGACCACGATTTTCGCCACGCGATCAACAACGTTGACACGACTCGGAAGCAGATGCACCATCACCGATCCAGCTACGTTTACCCATAATTTCTCTTCCACTCCAATTTTACTCCATTTATTCTGCACGAGCGTGCCGCTCTCGTCGCTTCTCTCGTCGCTTCTCTCGTCGCTTCTCTCGTCGCTTCCACGTCGTTCCTCGCCTTCCACGGAAATATCGTTATCGCGAAACCAGGCAAGATATCGCTTCGCTCTTTTCCTCTTCCTCCTACCACTCATACACGCGGCGACGCTGTTGTTTGTTTCTTTGGAATGCACCGACGCGTGAACGATCGAAAAATTAGCACCAACCGGATCACGCGACACGACCCTTGCCGTGAGTCACGGTCTCGCGAGAAATCACTGATTCGATTCGCGGAACACGCGACATTTTCCAAGACGCTGGATCATTCAAACGCGAAACAAGCGCGAAACGTTGCCGCGATGTGAAACGAGTGGAGGCGAGTGGTGGCGAGTGGAGGCGAGTGGAGGCGAGTAGAGGCGAGTGGTGGCGAGTGGCGGCGAAGAGCGGCGCAGTAATGCGGGGTGCGGTGAAGCGAGGTGAAGCGAGGAGAGGCTAGGTGAGGTGAGCCGAACTGAGGTGAGTCGCGGAGCGGCGAGGTGAGGAGGGTCGAGGAGAGGTACGGGGAGGCGAGGGGAGGCGAGGAGAGGCGAGGTAGAGCAAGGTGAGGCGAGGTGAGATGAGGTGCAGCGAGACAAGGCGAGTCGACACGTTAGACCGGCGAAGAGACTCGGTTGAAGAAACTCGGTGCGCGATATACTCGATCCGCTATCGTCTCTATCCTATGTTCCCTGACCCCCTTCCCCTCTTTCGCTCGACGAGTGGTCCACCGCGGTAGCGCGTCCTATGCTCCGTTTCTCTCTGTTACCCGCTGAACGGACGGCCGCTAACTGACTTCGCGATTCCACAAACATCCTTCGCATTCGAGAGACCACGTGACGGAGCTCGAGCTCTAGCCCGAGTTCTCGAGGCATCAGGTAGGCGCAGTGGACATGGTACGCCGAGCCTTTGCGCCTACCACTCTCGACCGCGTATATGCGCCTGTATATACACGACGGTGCACCGGTGTTGGCAGCCAGCAAAAGGACATGCCGGAGAAACTGTCAGAGTTCGCAGCGGCTCCACCATGCTCCACCATTATTCCGTCCTACCGAATTTTCCCAATACCGCAACCACGGCTTTCGCAACTCCTACTTTGTCTCCTTTATTTCTTTGAATTCTCTTCCTTCTCCAATTGTCCGAGTCACGGGGACGAGGAGCGTCGCTCGAGTGTATTCCAAGTGTCTCGAATCCGTCGCTATTCACGACCGAGCGAATCAACCGTCGTTCGTCTCTGCGTGTGCGTTCGTGCGTGTGCGTTTGTGCGTGTAGCGTACAGGATAGAAAGAGAGAGAGAAAGAGAGTAGGGGAATCGGCCGGTGAGATTTGGGGAGCAGGGGCTGAAGTAGGAGGGAGTATAAAAAGCAGGGCGAGAGATACGAGATAGTGTGTGCGTGCGTGCGTGCGCGCGCGCGCGATTGCGCGTAGCACGCAAGTAAAACGCGAACGAAAAGACACGAGCGCGAACGATAGGAGCGAGAAGGATGAATAAGGTAAACGATATAGCTGCGAAGAGTATAACGGAGCGAGGGAAACGAGCGCGGAAAGAAGTAATTGCGAATAGAGAGAGAAAGAGAGAGAGGTACGTCGGACCTTTATCAAAGTATCGGAGAAGAGAGAGAGAGAGAGAGAGAGAGAGAGAGAGAGAGAGAGAGAGCCAGCGATGAATGGGAACCATGTACGTTGCGTTGGCAAGAAGCAGGACGAAGCGTACGTGCACGAGTTTCGTAATCGTTCCGTTGCAGATCGACGGAAACACGGGTGTCCCGAATGCAACGTCTCTTGTTCGAGCAAGGTGCGAAGACGCGGTTAAAGTTCCAAGGAAAACTGCTAACGCGTACAGTAGAAACGAAAACGAGAAAAGGGAAAGGACGAGTAGGGCCTCCTCGGCTGATTCGTCACGGACTAACTCGCCGAATGACGGATGTCCGCTGTTTTTCTTTGCTCGATTTTCAAGAAGATTATACGCTCGAAGGATACGCGACGATATTACGTTTCCGCTACTCGATGCTACTCCGAAACCGCTGAGCCAAGCAACGGTTTCGTTTCGGTTTTATCGAAACGAC